AGGAGCACTTGCTCGCTCGCGCTCTCTCTCTCTCACACACACACACACACACACACACACACGCCCCTTTCCTCCCTCTCTCTCCCTCCCTCCCTTCCCCTCTCCCTCCCTCCCTCTTTCCCTCCATCTGTCTCCTCAAATAAATAAACAAATATTCCTTTTTTAAAATAACCAAAATGGGGCCGGTGTTGTGGCTTGGCAAGTAAGGCCGCTGCCTGCAGTGCCGGCATCCCATGTGAGCGCCGGTTCAGGACCTGGCTGTTCAACTTCCATTCCAGCTCTCTGCAGATGGCCTGGAAAGGCAGTGGAAGATGGCCCAAGTCCTTGGACTTCTGCACTCATGTGGGAGACCCAGAGGAAGCTCCTGGCTCCTGGCTTCAGATCAGCCCAGGTCCGGCCAATGCGGCCTTTTGGGGAGTGGCCCAGGGGATGGAGGACCTCTCTCTCTCTCTTTGCCTCTGCCTCTCTGTAACTCTGCCTTTCAAATAAATAAATAAGTCTTTTTTAAAAATAATAACCAAAATGTATGAGGACCTACAGGCAAAAAACAGGCCATGGTTTGCTAAACCTGGAATGATTCAAGAGAGAAATTAATTTATTTGGATAGATAAGTTGGGTGTTGATCATATATACAACATAAAGAACTAAGACTATTATAGGACCAATGAAATCATTATAATATTTTATTCTAAAGAAGGATATGATTCATTCACTCAGTAAATATTTATTGAGCATCTACTGTACACTAGGCACTGCTGTGGATGCTTAGAATAAATAAGTGACTAAATCAAAGATCCTGATTTCACATGGAGAGAGGGGGGAGAGGTGAATAATTAATGTCGAACATAAAAACTAAGCTATGTAGAAGGTTAGAAAGTAACAGAACTAGAAAAAAGAAAAAGCTACACAGGGTACAGTGGAACAGGAGCAAGGGTGGGGGAGATGTGCATGGCCAGACATAATTTGATAGAGTGGTGAGGGACAGGCCTTATATAGAAGGTGATGGCAGAAACTTGAAGGATATTGTTGTTGGTTACTCTGTAACTCCATATGCACATGGATTATTGGATAGCCAAGGTGAAACTTTTCATATCTGCTCTGTTCCCACAGTCTTGCTCTCCTGAGTTGCAGTCATGGTACCATTTTAATTCAGAAACATGAAAACATTTTATAGTTTAGATTCTAGGGCCTGGAGAATAACCAAAAGTCAGAAGTAAACTGGTGGATGGCACTGTGGCACAGCCGGTAAAGCCGCCACCTGCAGTGCTGGCATCCCATTTGGGCACTGGTTCAAATCCCAGCTACCCCACTTCTGATCTAGCTCTCTGCTACCAGTGAATGGAAGACCTTTCTCTCTCTGTCTCTCCCTCTCTCTGTAACTCTGCCTCTCAAATAAATAAATAAACCTTTAAAAAAATAAACTGAACTTTTGCTCCAATATCAATTATTTTCATAATCTAAGGATACCAAGTATTTTCATAAGCTACTAATATCATACTTAACCATTGGATGCCTTTATCTGCTTGAAACCATCTATATCCCTTAATTTGAAGGCCCATCTCTTTTGAAATGCAGCAAGTTAAAAATATTTGATTTACATCTATTTTCCCTATGACCACCCCCAAAGACTTCTTTCTACTGGAAGACAAAAGCAACCATATTTGGTCAATTTGGTTTCTTTCCTTTTTTTTTTTCTTTTCTGAGTTTATAGTTGTCAGGAAGAGCTGTGTGCAATGCCAATGCTGTCCCCAAAACTAACAGAGCTCTAACATACAAAACATCTATTCTGCTTCTAAATTTGTTTTTAATTATATTACAAGATGGAAAAAGAAATGCCTTAGCTGTTAACACCGGCTCAGTGGGGCCAACAGTAGACATAGAGCAGACACGAGGAAATACTTCAAAAAAATTTTTTTAGCTTGCCATGATTTAATAGCAGATATTCCTGGCTTTGAGTGAACTCTGCAATATCCCTGTGCGACAGGATAAATGATCGTCTACTACTATTAATTTTAGGTCATAATGTCTGAAATGCCGCTTCAAAAATAAATGCAGTATTTTCACTTTATTTGGTCAGGTAAATACTAAACTATTTTGTCATAATAACTTTACAACACTGTGTTTCACCTTGTCTTGCCTTGACTGCTGAAGGTAATAGGGACCGTTTTATTATGTCCATAAATTGAGTCAATTGACTTATCCTTATATCCTGTTTCCTGAACTTAACGAGAGATTCTGCATCATTAGGAAAACACACCATCCTGCTGCAGGATCAAAAGCAAAGGAAGCCTGATAATAAGTCATTTTGATTTCAGGGAATGTTCAGCAGGCAAACTTTCAATATTCTGGCAGAAATAAAACAAATAACTGGCTTTGCAAAGTATGGTTTGCTCAGAGCTCTGCTTATGCTGGAGACATCCCAAAAGATTACACACACACACACACACACACACACATCACTCTCTCTGAATATGAGGCTCTTGTAATGAATCTGCAGATTAGGTGGCTTAACATACCTATCAAAGCACACAAATCAAATTATTAAATATTTTTGCAAGGAAAGTTTAAAAGATGTTTGCAGTCATATTTTTTAAAAGCCAGACTATCACAATCACATTCTTGGATCAGATCTTATTGTGAAAAATGAATGCTTGTGGTAAAGCCAAGCTCTTCCTTCTACCTTATAAATTTTGAAAACAGTGGGTTCTTAGTTCCTTTGGTTTCATTTGCTTTTCTTTCTTAGTTCCCTGACTCCAGTACAGTGCCTGGTGCATGGCTGCACAAATGGTAATATTGCAGCATTCCATTAACCATGGCAATAGCAAAAATCACGGTGTCTTCTATATCGCATTCATAAAAGGATCAGGACCCAACCCACAAGTAGCATTGCAGTGATGATGAGCAATAATGATGTTTATAGTAGATGTACTGGGGTAAACATCTGTGCCGCACACTCAGCATGGATCATGTCTTTCAATCCTCACACCATTTCTAGGAGTTAGGTACCATCATTATTACCATCTTACAACTAGGTGAACTATATCTTGGAAAAGTTAAATAACATACTCTAGCTATTGTAGCAGCTAAGTGGTGTCTGGTTCCAAAGCTTAAGCTCCAGCACACAGTGCTCCATTGGGAAGCCAGGGTCTAAGTTTTGCAGGCAATCATGCAGAGCAGATTCCCCTCCAGAAGATGCAGGCAGCCAGGGAAGCCTGGTAGGAAAGGAAAAAGACCTAACACATGCCAAAGAGCTAATGACAGCAGGCAAGGGTAAGCTGAGAAAGCAGCTCTCTTGTTCATTTAGCTTATTAGAAACTACACAAGAATACAGTTATATTTTGGTCACACTACTCCCTTGGGCATTGCCCAGCTGCTGGGACCACATGGAAACTCTCTTAAAAGAACCACTGGACCTTAGTCCTCTTTACTTTATAGAATTCTCAGATACTCTCTTAGGTCCCTAGACCAAAAACTTGTAAGATCTTCAACTGCATTCTAGTAAACACAACTGGGTAACTATTCTCTAAACTACTGCCCAAAAACACTTTCGTGCTGAGGACCCATGTCAACATCACTGAGACTGCATAACTCACAGGCAATTCCACTGGACAGCAAGCCCAAGAGCAACAATATAGAAACCAACAATAGAGAAAAAGGCTACAGTTCATAAGCCAAGTAGATTAAAGAACCGAGTGGTTATTAGTGGATTCAACTCATATTGTAAAACCTCAAGGTACATAATGATTCTTATTCTCCACCACACAGAGGTAAAAGTAAGAATCATCTAGCACTCAGTTGGAACTCTCCAAAGCAGATGAGTGGCAAGCCTGAATATATCTGTAAGGTATCTAAATACAAACTACTAGATAATGTCCAAGGATGGCAGTGACATGATCTGACTCCTACCAACTCTCTGGCTTCACCTTGCTCCTCTTCAACCCACATTCACTGCTTGCCAGTTCATGGGACCACCTTCTACTTCCATTGCAAGTTGCCACAACTCACACTCATTACCTGTTGCATTTTCAAATGCAAATAACAGAAACCCAAACCAAATCGCTAATATAATTAGGAACACATCTACAAATCTAAAGCCAGGGGGCTGGCGCAGCGGTGTAGTGGGTAAGGCCGCCGCCTACAGTGCAGGTATCCCATGTAGGCGCTGGTTCAAGTCCTGGCTGCTCCACTTCCAATCCACCTCTCTGCTGTGGGAAGGCAGTGGAAGATGGCCCAGGTCCTTGGGCCCCTGCACCGCATGGAAGACCCAGAAGAGGCTCCTGGCTCCTGGCTTCAGATCAGCACAGCTCTAGCTGTTGTGGCCAACTAGGGAGTAAACAGCAGAGGGGAAGACCTCTCTCTCTCCTGCTTCTCCTCTCTCTGTGTAACTATGACTTTCAAATAAATAAATAGATAAATCTTAAAAAAAAAAAGCCAGGAATGTTCCACAATTGAAGTTTACAGTTATAGAAATCAATGGGGGCCTAGATTCTTGCTATCTTTCTGCTATGTCACTGGTAAGTGGGATTCGTTCTCAAGCAAAATCCACTCAAGACATGACAACATTCAGAGGCAAAGAGGTCATATGTCCTTGTAAAGAGTGAAGAAACCTGCGAGCAGACTTTTAGCCTACTTTTAGCCTACTAGTTAAGATCTCTGCATTCCACATCAGAGTGCCTGGGTTTGATTCCCACTTCCAGCTCCTGACTTCAACTTCTCACCAACACAGACCCTTGAAAGCAATGTTGAGGACTCAAGTAATTGGGTCTCTAGTACCCTCTTGGGAGATCTGGATTGACTTTCCAGCTCCTGGCTATAGCCCCCACCTGTGGTGGGCATTTCTTTCTTTTTTTATAGAAAGCTTTTACTTGATAAATAAAAATTTGATAAGTACAACTTTTAGATTATAGTGGTTCTTCCCCCCAAAGCTGCCCTCCCACCCCCAAAACCATCCCACCTCCTACTCCCTCTCCCATCCCATTCTTCATTAAGATTTATTTTTAATTATCTTTATATACAGAAGATCAACTTCATATAAAGATTTCAACAGTTTGCACCCACAGAGACACACAAAGTAGAAAATACTGTTTGAAGACTAGTTTTATCATTAATTCTCATAGCACAAGAGTGTTTTCACAGTCCCAGCACATAATCCTCCCACAGTCATGAGCACCCAGCTCCCTGTCTATTCTCTCCACCAGATTCAGGAGTCTTTGCTTGGCTGGTTGCTGGGCATAGACACAAGCTGGTGCAGCTGCTTCATATGTCTAAAATGGTGCCTGCTCTCTGTCAGCTTGTTACAGGACACCTTTGCAGAATGATCAGGGAGAAAGAAAACATGTCACCCCCTTTGTTTTTTCTCCTCCAGTTTGGCAGGTACACTATCTCCCATGGGGCTCCAAGCTGGATTCCCTCTAGGCTCTTCCTCCAGCTTTTTCACCAGTGGCTTGGGCTGCTGCAGTCTAGTCTCACCTCACTCTCCAGTACTGATGTGGAGGTTCTTGGCTGCTGGGGTCCTGAGTTGTGTCCACGCCCTCCACCTAGGTCTACTGTCTCCCTCTAATTTGCATAGAGTTTCCTCTGCCATTTTCTCCCTTACTCTTCCCTGAGACTGCACTCTTTCTACTTTTTTAAAACTATCTTCTCCTAGACTCGAGCAGTAAACTCCCTCCCTGCTCTGCCATCTTAATCCAATCAAACACCATATCTTCTAAGCATGCTTTTTCTTAAACTCCTAGGTTGGAATCACTGTATTTCCAGAATGTGATCTTTTACAATGTTGATAGCAGTCTTATATGATGTAAAGGTGAGGGATCCATGGGTAGAGTGGGAAGGGCAATCCATTCACAAAAGAACATCCATTCTTCATTGAACACAGCTGAAGGCTGACTCGAGCCAGCATGTCATCTCCACGTTCATCTAGGGCAGAAGAAGACATCTGTGAGACAGGCTTGTTGCCATTGGGAAACATGATCTCTAAAGACCTCCATGGAAACAGTCACCCCTCTAGCTTGGTTAGGCTTGAGATTCTTTCATTTTTCCTTCTTGGTACAGACCCAGGGATGCATGCTGCTCTCTTCTACTTGTAGATATAGCCATCTGATACCTCTTAGCCTGCTGTTATTTTTTCCCAGACAACAACCTACAGTATGGGACGTGGTGTCCCTCACCTCTTAACTCTCAGCTGACTTTGAAGATAAGTATTGGACCTTCTCAGTGTTACAGTATGGGTCTACAAGACAGGCAAACAAGGGAAATCCACAACTTCCAGAAAACATTGGTAAGTTCTCCTAGGATTTCTGGGCTGGATACTATTCCTTTTAGGGTATGGTCTCCTTGAACTTTTATTCTCAATTTTAATTTCTAAAGGTGACATTTATCAAATCACCATAAACTGATGGCATCTTCATCCCCTTTAGCAAGTGATGTCTAGGCCTGGCCAGCCAGCCTTGGCAGAATCATGGTTGTGTCAGCTTATCTCTAGAGAGTAATTTATGATTCTGAAGACCATCACACTATGTTTCACCACTGTCCATTGGATGGTGGCCTCACACAATTTTGAGTATAAAAAGAGTGTAGCTATCAGTGCAGCAAGACTAATAAACTCTATCATCTGTTACATTTTATAGTCATTATGTCATGGTGCTTCATAGCAATATCATGGAAGACTGATTTTTTTCTTCATTTTAATGATGAGCTAAGATGAGTTGCAGGAAGATAGTCTCCCAAAGTCTGTCTAACTTCAGAGACCTTGGCATTTCTACTAAATTTGTTCTAAAGGTAGGAGAGAAACATAGTTTATGCATGAAGCCTGAAGCCACCAGACAAATTGGTTTGGAGAAATTTTAAATAGCCAGTGCCAAATTCCTGTTCTGTAAGCCACTTGTTCGTGGAGGTTGTGTATTGCAAAAAGAAATGTACCTCCTTAGGAGATTAAGCTGGACACAGCCTGGCCATCTGCTCTGTTGGCAGGAACTGCTGTAGGCTGCTTTATGGATAAGGGAGATAGAGCAGGGCATGTCACTGGCCAACAGTGCTCCTGGCAGTGAGGCATGAAGACAGATAACTCCTAAGCAGAATGACTGCTGTCAACATCTTAGAGCCCATGGAGTAGATGTAATGAAAACTGAATGTCTCGGAGAAAAGGGGTGCAGTGGAGTCTTAATAGCAGTATAGCTTTATAGCACCCTGTTTTGGCCAGCATCCCTGCTAGAATTATGCTAGAGGCTGTAGTTGGAGCTATAAGCAGAGTATGGTGGGGTAGAAAGACGTTCAGCAAAAATGCACATAACTATTTAATTATAATCATGATAAACTCCATATGAAAGTAGAATGTTCTTCAATAGCATGAAATGGGGAGATCAAACAGAATCTCTGTTTTGGGCATTATAGTAGGGGCTCTCTTGAGACAGTGATGTCTATAATTTACCCTATAGGTTGTTTGTCACAGATCTTACAGATAATTCACTTTTACCTCTTTCTTTCTTAGAGGACCACACTCCTTCCCCCTGAACCATCCACTTTTGATTTTCAGGTATTCACCTTCTTCTGTCTACCATGGGCTTCAAGCAGGAGCTGTCCTTGAACGTGAGTGTCGATTGATCTGAGTCACTCAGTCTCAACAAATGGTGCTGGGAAAACTAGACTTTCACATGCAGAAGTATGAAGCAGGACCCCTACCTTATGTCTTACACAAAAATCCATTCAAAGTGGATTAAAGACCTAAATCCATGACCCTATACCATCAGATTATTAAAGAACATTGGGGAAACCATGCAATACACTGGCACAGGCAAAGAGTTCTTGGAAAAGACCCCAGAGGCACAGGCAATCAAAGCCAAAATTAACAGATGGGATTACATCAAATTGAGAAGCTTCTGCAATGCAAAAGAAACACTCAGGAAAGTGAAGAGGCAACCAACAGAATGGGAGAAATTATTTGCGAATTATGCAACTGATAAAGGATTAATAACCAGAATATATAAAGAGATCAAGTTATTCAACAACAATAAAACAAACAACCCAGTTAAGAAATGGGCAAAGTACTTAAACAGGCATTTTTGAAAAGAAGAAATCCAAATAGTCAACAGACACATAAAAAAATGCTCAGGACCAGTAGCCGTCAGGGAAATGCAAATCGAAACCACAATGAGGTTTCACCTCTACCCTGTTAGAATGGCTTTCATACAGAAATCAACAAACAACAAATGATGGCAAGGATATGAGGAAATCCATTGTTGGTGGCAATGTAAGCTGGTAAAATCCACTATGGAAGACAGTATGAAGACACCTCAGAAATCTGATTATAGACCTGCCATTTGACCCAGCCATCCCACTCCTGGGAATTTACCCAGGGGAAATGAAATCAGGATACGTAAGAGTTATCTGCACCCCCATGTTACTGCCACTCAATTCACAATAGCTAAGACATGGCATCAACCCTAATGGCCATCAACTGAAGACTGGATAAAGAAATTATGGGATATATACACTATGGAATACTACACAGTGGTTTAAAAAAAATGAAATCTGATTGTTTGCAACAAAAGGGATGAAACTGGAAAACATTATACTTAGTGAAATAAGCCAGGCTCAAAAGGACAAATACCATATGTTCTCCTTGACCTGTGATAACTTATAGAGCACCTAAAAGGTAATTTATAGAAGTGAAATTGACACTTTGAGAAGCAATGACTTTGAACAGTCCTTGTCTTGTCTGTTGAGGAACAGTTTTTGTATTTTTTCCCATACTATTTTTTGAATTCTTTACATAACATAGAGTTAATCATATCTATATAAAGTTAACTGAAAATAGGTCTTAGTAAAAAATAAGAATGGGAATAGGAGAGGGAGTAGGAAGAGGGGTGGGACGGCAGGTATGGTGGGAAGAACCACATGTTCCTAAAGTTGTAATTATGAAATGTATTAAGTTTGCATTCCTTAAATAAAAGATTTCTTGGGGTGGGGGGGAAGACTAGGTTTATCCAACATAGAAATTTTATCATGGAATGAGCTGGACAAGGGAACTGGGACACTTGCAAGAAAGAGACTGAAATGAGCATGAAATATAAGTGAATTGGGAAAAATTATCAGGGGAGATGAAGAGGGAAAATATGGGAGGTCTTAGATAAGCACTGCTCTAATGGAAGCCAGAAAGAAAGGAAGCAGTGGTTGCAAGATGACAAGTTTCCATAAGTGGCTTCAGAGCAATGCATTCTCTGGCAATGGCAAGTCCAGAATGTGACCATAGAAGTGAGTGGCTAAATCAGAATAGAGAAAAATAGTCATCATCAGGGTGCTTGCCAAACAGGTCATTCACATAGGCAACAAAGTCACCAAGGGCAAAGGCCAAGAGTTGGGTGGAGAAGAATGCTGGCAACATGCATGCTCATCTCTACAAGGTTGGACTCCTTGGTGGAGATTTGGGCATGACAGAGGAGAATGCAAGGGTTTGGGCAAGCACAGAACACAAATACAGGCTGTGGGGGCCCTACAGGTGGTTTTGGGTTCTGCCTCAGATTCAAAAATGTGAATATCCATAGGTTGATGGGGTGGTAGTTTGGCTTTTGTGGGAGCTCTTAACTCATTAGAAAGCTATCTTTCTGGCATTCATGTCTTAATGAAAGAATACTAAAGAATGCCTATGTTTCTGTTATTTCCAACAGAAGTTGTTCATGTAGTCAAAGTTCTAATCCTATGAGATACAGCCACCATTATTTTATATTTATTACTGTACTTAATCTTTTAAGAAAACAGGATTAACTTTCAGATTAAACACCATGTAAATGTTGCTCTGTACTTTAATTAAAATGAATAAGCTAATTAAACTAGAAAAAAGTTCAAATAAGCTCATGAGAGTGTAACATTAAAGAATATATCCTTCGTTAATGCTTTTTGATGCGAGAAAAGATTATAGCACATTAGAGATAAATATTAGTTGGCTTTTGTTATATTAAAGGTTCTTGGATCATATATCATACTATTAATGGCTGCCTTATATTAATTATGTCTGCAGACCAAAGCAATATTTGACAACTTATGATATATGGTATATTATAACATGACTCAATTCTGAACAGCATTGTTAGTAGGGATTTAAACTCTCATTTTGAATATAGATTTCTGGGGTACAGGGTAATCCTTGTGTTTATTTAATGCCAATAGAAATAAGCCTTTAAAAGGAAAAGAAAAACTGCGTAAAAAATAAAGACAGAAATGGATTCCTTCCATCTTGCTTGTTTCACTAGGATCCTAGTGTGTTAGAGTTCCACTGGAGCTATTACCACCAAATGAGACGAAGGGCCTGGAGCTCTCAATGAGATTCAGTCCACAGCTCATTGCCATTGAAGTCGGGCCACGGTCTGCTGTGTAAATGTGCACTGTGGGCCTCTTTAATGCACTGATTAGGGCATAATTATGGGTACAATAGACTCTTCTATGCATAATCATGTTCTTGGGGGATTTTAAATGTGTATACTATTGCTCAAACCTAATACAATTTTTGTGATTGTTCATTTCAGTTATGTCATATACCTTTAGTGGGGACATTCTCAATTTGCAAATAAGTTATTTCTTCCCCAAACTATGGATATAACAGTCCACTGAGATTAACTGTGTCTAAACCCATTTCACAGTTTGTCCTTAAGGTGGATTAAGAACACTTAGTACACCCTCACTAAGGATTCTTAGTGTAGATTCTTGACAATTCCTGCAATGGCCTCTTTAAATGCAGTTAACTTCAAAATCATGGGTGACTAGATAGAGAAACAGAGACAGAGTTGGGGTGGAGGTGGCTGGAGGTACTTCTCATAGTCCAGTGCTCTCAGAGTTCTCTTCTCTATGTAGAACCATTTCTTACAGATTATTCCCCCTCCAAAGAGCCAGCTACATGAATTACACAGAAGCCACACAGCAGGAAC